AAAAAAAAAAAAAATTATAGGGTCGCCATAAGTTGGAAATAATATAAAGGGACACAACAACAACAACAATAACCACAATAATAATTGAACTGGTCACTGTATGGCAAGAAAACTGAGGCCATACACATATACCTGATTATGAGAGTCTGACTCCAGTAATGTTGCCTTAAATACTGCCAGGACAGCATTACACCCAATTTAGCCCACATTACCTTTAAATCTTGTTCTTCTTCTTCCACCTTGAAAGTTACTTGGGTTTTCATTTTGTCTTGCATTTCCTCTGTATCTTGCTCATGGTCTGAGTTCTCACCGCCTACTTCAGGGTCTTCCTTTACTGCTGAACAGAAAGCAAGGTAAAAATGTTTGGACACCTCATTCTGTAAGAGTAAGTTCTCAACACATCTTCCACTTTATTATGGAAGATGTACACATATAACAAGATACAAACAATGGGGACAGGGTTTAACTTAGGTTTAATTATTTACTTTACATGCAAGAGGTGGCCTTCTAAGACACTGCACTGAGATCACTGCAGAATGAAAACTAGAGAATAGTGGCCAGTATCTTGATAAATGGGTAGAAAGAACAAGGAATACAACTAGTACTCATAAAATGTAAGCCTCCCTGCTCAGTACTAGTACATATAACTTAAGAGCTGTAAAGAGTCCTTGGCAGAAAAAAGTCTAGCTTACCTGTTTCTCCAGGTTCCGGACTCTCTTGCCCTGTCTTGCTTGACCCCCTGCTGGTGGATTCTGGGCTAGCAACCCCAAAGAGCTTCCATTTCCCCTGCTTGGGTAGCAGCCGTCTTGCTAGGTCTGATTGACTCCCATCAGAAAGTGGACTGGATCCTGAAATACTCCCATCACCTTCTTCTAAAGCTCGTAGTTCTGCCTGTAAAACAATATTTCAGTATTAGAGAAACAAACACATTTTTCTCTTACTCTCAAAAGTATCTCTCTTCATCCATGGCAATTTCTAGTTAATGACTTTATGCATCAACCTGTCTCTTATACAAAAAGAGCCTATATTCAACTGATTTAGCCCTTCTTAGCTTGCTATTTCATGGCTGTCTTTTAAAAATCCATGACCATTCCCTGTTTTATGAATCTGTCTATCCCATGGATAGAGACTGTATCATGAACAGAATGCTTTGATGAAGTCGTAGGCTTTCATGGCCGGCATCCATAGTTTTTTGTGGGTTTTTCGGGCTGTGTGGCCATATTCTAGAAGAGTTTCTCTCTGACGTTTCACCAGCATCTATGGCTGGCATCTTCAGAGAAAAGCATCTTTTTCGCTGAAGATGCCAGCCATAGATGCTGGCGAAACGTCAGAGAGAAACTCTTCTAGAATGCTTTGATATTCAGGAGAATAATTAGATAAGTATTTCCTGAACAATCCTTTCCAAAAGCACATTTAGCATATTTATTACAGTATAGAAAGTTTCACAGATAAAATACTAAATTTCAGGAAACATATTTAAGTGTAGCTGTGTTACCATACAGCCAACATTTTAACTTGTCCAGTGACTTTGATCTAACAATGATTTGTGTAAAACTGAAATGGCAGCACCTGGCATACCAAGCACTGCCATTCCTCAAGCTTCATCTATGCTACACCGGAATCCCGCTGGTGCTAATTCCACCCCCCCTTTTCCCCAAGTGCCTTCCTTTCACTTTGTAAAGGGAAAAGAGAGTCATGGACAGCAGTGGTTCTCCACTGGTAGCCACTAGTATTTCTGTCTGCCCACACAGAACAGGTGGCAACTCTTTCAAGCAACTATCAATATGGGAGATGAACCATCACTGATAATGCTTACTTCTGCATAGTCAGTGGTGCTTTTCTTGATCAGCCACTTCTGTAGCCCCTGCCTGTCCAGAGTATTTTACATCAGAGCTCCTACTCTAGGATGAGAATATTCATTTATTTCATTCTTACACACAAGAATGGAAAACTGCAAGTTTTCAGGAGTAGTGGTCAACAGAGAAGAATAACTGCCTCAACCCTTGAACTCTTGGTTTCCTTCTTTCTCAATACTCAATGAAACAATGAGAAAGTGGGTGGAAGTAGATATGCACAGGAGCCCTAAGGAGCACAGGCAGTATCTTCCTCAACTGCCACCCACTCACTTTGCAATGGCACAAGTGGGAACTCCTCTTCAGTGTGGGGACAACCATATATCAGATGAAGATTTGTCTCATATTTAAGACAATTATATTTTAGACAAAGTACTCACAACTGGCCATGTATTAAAAGCCAATTAGAGATCAACCATTTTCTCTAGGGAGATGACACACACCCTGCCCATAAAGGCCTGAAGGCCTTTTAGTTTGGGCACTCAGCTCCTAACAAGTTCGCCATCACTGGTATAATCAGTTTGAGATGAGGGGAGTGTAGGGAAATAAACTCTATTTTCTCACTTGTTGGGCTCAAGTACAAGCATCTTCCTTCAAGACTATGCTTGTATCTGAAGTCAAGTGCACATTCTTATCTCCCTTAAAATTATGCCTGCAAAAGAGCAATATTTCCCTCAGTCACTGTATACATCACAGTGAGGAAAGCACTTGTATAAGTATCCTGAATAGTAAGCTGATATTGCTTACCATATAATTAGGGATGAATGAAGCACTTCACAATGGTGCATCCACCATCTGAGGTATTTTCCAACTGATATCTAAATCTAATATACAATGGGTTTACTCTACTCAGAACTAAAATATGATTTAGGCCCAAAATTGTTTAAAATGAACCTTTTGGGAAAACAAAATTACCCGCTGGGGAGGCAATGGCTAACAGCAATATAGCTAATCCTTCTCACACGGTAGTTTATCACAGCTCCATAGGGGACTCAGTTACCATGCTGGAGGACCTCAGAAAAGTCTTAACAGTCAGGTGCTGGAGCTGTTCTAGCTCTAGATTCATACCCCAAACTGGGTTTTGGACCAGATGGCCTAAGCACACCATACAGTATCTGAAGGAGGACTTGACTCCACAATCAAAGCAGCAGCATCCCAACATGCATGCTGACATGCAAGAGAATAAACGCTGTCCAAAACATTCATATAATGTCACTCTATGGTTGTAATGTGATGTAAAGTTACAATGCCATTATACTGTCGTTCTTTTAATTGTAAAGCACTATGTACAGTGTTGGCACTATATAAATAAATAGATGATGATGATGGTTCTATTACAAGCAGTATCTTGGGACTGTTTGCTTCTTTTTGAGGTTCCTATCTTTTTTTAAAAAAACAACCAGCTGAATCCAACAGACCTCTAAGTACACTTAGGCCCCAAACAGAAAGCACAACAGAAGGAGATATCTGTATCGAACAGGGCTTTGCATTATCAGGAAGACAAGTAGTAGGGCTATGAAACCAACACACAGACATACTAGTCCTTCTTCTATAGCAGGATCTGCAACACCCACGCCACCCAATTCTCAATCCCACCCAAGTCCCATCAGAAATGAGTTATGACGCACCTTCTTCCTCTCCAATACCATTTCCAGCTCAAGAGTATCCTGTTCCTCTTCTTCCTCGGCACTCTCCCCTGATTGCACCACACTGCATATGTCCTCCTGGAAAGGGTCTTCACCAATGTCTTGGTTGCTTTCTGGCTGCTGATCAGCAACAGGGGCTGTTTGGTCTGCTGTCACATCTTCTTCCATCAATGGCTCCACCTCCTCTTTACAGATAACCTTCCGCCTCCAGCGTTCCTCTTCTTCCTTCACCACCTCAGGAAGTAATGGAGCCAGCAGTGATGCAGCTACTCCCTTCTTCTCTTCTTCATTGCTTGAAAGGGCCTGGATACTTTCATTCAGTTCCTGGGAAATCAACAAGATTTGCATCAAAATATTAGCTTCCTGGAGTTAAAAGCACTGAAAACCCTGCTGGCAGTTTTTTTTAATAACATGATGATGATGATGATATAATATATGATGATGATAATGTTATTAAAAATAATATTTTTTAATAACATGATGATGATGATGATGATGATGATGATGATAATAATAATAATAATAATAATAATAATAATAATAATAATAATAATAATAATAATTTATAGCCCGCCCCTCTGCAAGGCAATCGGAGCGGGGTACAGCAAATGATGATGTGGGAGGTTGTATTTGATCTTTTTGTCACATATGTTTTATTCAAGGAACTGGTGTAAAATTCTGCCATGTGTAGGTCAGAAGGAAACCTCATAAATGGAATAATCAATAATATGCAAAGAGTATTCCACAATATCTCAATGTGTCAAAAGAGCTCTTCTCTCTTGCATTTTGATTCAGGAAACATGGAATCTGCTATTCAGCATCTTAGAAAAACATGTTTCCAGTTCCCACTGTTATCATGTAAACACTTTGAAATATGTGACTAGTAGTTAATACAGGCTCAGAAATTAGAGGCATATATGCTCATATGCTTCCAGTAGCCAGGATGTGAGATCTGTGCAGACCATGAAAGTCCACTTTCAAACCCCAGTATCTGA